TTTAGGGAAAAATAGGAAAAATAAAAAAGTTACAATAACCTAGTTGCATAAGTGTGCACACCCTTTTATAATTGGGGATGTGGTTGTGTTCAGAATGAACCAATCACATTCAATCTCATGTTCAAAAGTAATTATCATACAGCTGTCATCCATGCAATTATTCTGATTAACGCCAAATAAAGACCAGCTGTTTCTGTAGGATTTTCTTCACATCTTCTTGGTTTCATCTGATTGCTGAAGCCATGGTCTGTAAACAGCTGACAAAACCTGTACAGTGTCTCACTGTCAAAAGGAATCAATCAGGAGAGGGGTATGAAAAAATTTCCAAAACATTAGATGTACCATGGAACACCGTGAAGCCTATCATCAACAAGTGAAGAGAATGGAGCACCACAGTGATATCACCAAGAACAGGACATCCCTCCAAAATTTACAAAAGGACAAGACCAAAACTTACTTAAAGGAGCTGCAGGAATATCTGACAAGTACTGATTAATCTCTGCATGTGACAACAATCTCTCGTATTGTTCACATGTCTGGGCTATGGGGTAAGCCCAACTAAATCAATCCAACCACGTGGCAGAATGGGTTATGGTCTGATGAGACCAATTCCAAAAGAAGCAGAAGCCTTTGTTTGTCACATACACATTACAGCACAGCGAAATTCTTTTCTTCATATATCCCAGCTTGTTAGGAAGCTGGGGTCAGAGCACAAAGTCAGCCATGATACAGCACCCCTGGAGCAAAGAGAGTTAAGGGCCTTGCTCAAGGGCCCAACAGTGGCAGCTTGGCAGTGCTGGGGCTTGAACCCCCCGACCTTTTGATCAGTGACCCAGATGCCTTAATCACTGAGCCACCACTGCCCTATAAATGGCCATAATAAAGGTATAATAATTCCATAAATCCAAAAGGTATGTTTGGCACAAAAAAAAAATGCATATCAACAGAAGAACACCATTCCCACGGTGAAGCATGGTGGTGCCAGCATCATGCTTTAGGGCTGCTTTTCTTCAGCCAGAACTGCGGGTTTTATCAGGGTGGAGGAATCCAAGGAATGGCTTTTGAATGGCCTAGCCAGAGCCCAGACCTGAATCCAACTAAAAATCTGTGGGGTGACCTGAAGCGGGCTGTGCACACGAGATGCCCTTACAATTTGACAGATCTAGAATGTTTTTGCAAGAAAGAGTGGGAAAATATTCCCAAGTCAAGATGTGCCATGCTGATAGACTCCTACCCAAAAAGACTGAGTGGTGTAATAAAATCAAAAGGTGCTTCACCAAAGTATGAGTTTAGGGGTGTGCACACTTATGAAACAAGGTTATTGTACATTTTTTATTTTAATTTTTTTTTTCCCTAAAAAGTTTCTGATTGTTTTTCACTTTATTTGTATACTTTGCAATTGCGCAATAGATCAGTGGGAAATGAT